AGGTCCCAGAGCCACTGAGAGTCTGTATAACCTCAATTCAGCTCTGTATCTTGACTTCAAGTTTCCCTGGAGGACGCTGTGATCTACCATCTCCATGAGGAGGAACTTGCTTCTTGGAGCCCTGGGGACCATCCGCCCTGTGACGTGTTCACTGGAAGGGGTGCTGTAGCAGGCACAGTGTTCTTCCTGTGACCCGGCTTTCGAGGCAAGGTCATATCTCAATCCGGTAGTGGACAGAAGGTGACGTCTGTGCTCCCTGCCCTCCTAGGAAGCTGTAAGGAAGGACCAAGTTGACATGCAAAGATGCTGGTGCTGGGGGAGCTGGGGTGACTGATTATTGGTGATACTCAAGCCTCTGTCTGTCTAAACTGTGGCCTCCTTGAAGGAAGAGGTCTTACCATCTTGGGGAAATCACTTAACCAACTGTGATAATAATTGCTAACATTTATCCAGCCCTCCTTATGTGCCAGGTACTGTATGATGTGCTTTGCATACATAATTGCATTTTAATCCTCACAACAATGACTAAGAGATTTTAATAAATTCCAGGAGACAGAACTCGCAGGGGTGTGAGCTGACCTATAAAACAGGAGGGAGCTGGAGTCCGGATCCTGGCAGCAGGCTGTAGCTGAGAGTCCTCCCCCTGGAACAGAGGAGGGGCCTGGGGCCCAGAGGCAGCAGGTGTGGGTGGGCTGGGGTGAGGAGCCAGGCTGAAAACGGAGGCCGTGGTGAGTTGTAAGTGGGGCAAGCCCACTCAGCAGACCCTCGCCCTCCCCGCCCGTGGGAGCGGAGCACAGGCAGAGGGACAAGCTGACGGCTCATCACTGAGGCCATGGGGTGAGTCCCACAGGGACAGCGAACCCCAGAATGAAAGAGGGGTCCAGGCTTCCACATTCTACAGAGGATCTGTCAGCTGCCACAGTTCTCCTGCCCCCACTCCTCCCACTCCCCCCAAAGCCTGAGGTTAGAGTTATTATCTGGGGGTGGGGGGTGAGTAGAAAAGCAAGTCCTATTAACCAACAGCAGAGGGGTCCACCCCAGCACCCTCACTTGTCTCTTCACCGTGTGACTAGTCAGACAGCATCTCCAGGCAGGGAGGAGAGCCAGAGAAAGATGAAGATAAACGCACCGCAAAATGAAGACCAGAGGAAACAGAGCAAATCAAGTGAAAAGGACACTAGAAATACTCCAGTTAACATAAGCAGAAACATTTGAGAGGGTATTATGACTGCAAAATAAAAAATCAGCATGCTTTGAAAGGGGAACGGTCAGAAAATCCAAATAAGCAGAGTCTAAAGTACAATTGTACCCCTAGAAAAGCAGCAGAGGATGAGAAAGCAGAGTGAGTAAAGCGCCAAAAAGAGAGATGGGAATTATGAGCAAATGGATAAAGGACAGAGAAGAAAGCCTCCAGGAGGCCGACAGCCGGAAACAAAACCAGAGGAAGTGGAGGGGAGGGGAGAACAAATCAATAATGCAAGGGAATTACTGAGCTCTGAGGAAAACAGAACCTCAACACTGCAAGGACCTACCACAGCACCAAGCAGGATGAATCAAAAAGGAGCCACAGTAAGGCAGGTTCCCAGCAACTTGCATAACACCATTGATAGAAAAATCCCCAGAGTTTTCAGAGAGGGAAACACGTCATCAGCAGAGAAATGAAAAACCATCCTGCCTGTCTCTGATCAGCCACCCCTTTCAGAAACATAGCCAAGCCCCTAGGATTCTGATGAAGCACTAGTCACAGCCAAACTAGTGGACATGTGGGAAGAGACGTTTTCATACATGCAAGCAAACTTTCATTTGACTCCTCAAGAGAAGTGACTTGAGGATGTCCTCCAGGCAAATGAGAGAGTAAATTACAAAAGAGAAAGAAAAAACAAGGACCTAGAATCTAACAAGGAAGGAAAAGAGCCAAGGACAAAGGCCAAAATTCTGAGGATGGCAATTTGGAAAGACAAATCTTGGGTCCTTGCTCACATGTTTGAATTGCAGAGTGAACTCTGGACAGCTCTGTCGTTAAGCAGTGAGATGAGACCCTTACATTTCAGCCTCTGTGAGAGGCCTCATCTGTACCTGTCACTGACATACCTACTCTGGAGCCATTCTTTTTTTTGAATGGTGCAAACTGTCTTGCCAAAGTGGAATGATATGAATATGTGTTTTTAAAAAAGAAAAGTTACAGAATAGAAAGTTCTGTGAAATACCACCTGGTGTATTGGTCAGGGTAGGTCAGCTGCTGTAACAAAGATGCCCAGATCTCAGTGGCTTGGCACACTAAGGCCTATTTCTCCCTGAGGCGAGTCGCCCACGGTGGGTGCTGCGTGGACCAGGCTCCACACGGTGGGCCTGGGCTCCTTCCATTTTGTGGCTCCCCGCTCCTCTGGGTTGCCTCGCCCATGCCACTCAGCCAGAGGGCGGAGGAGGCCCGGTGACAGGAGACGGGCTCCTGGGGAGGGGCTGAAGGGCTGGGTCTGCAGGAGGCACGTGTCAGCCACTCATATTGCACTGGCCACTCGAGGCGGGCTGTGACACGTCCTCCAGCCATGTCCCCAGGAGGATGAGGTAGGCTCTGCCAGCGGCACAGATGGGCACGCGTGCATCCATGCGAAGCTGGTTTCAGTCCTTGTCTCTGGGGGTCCGGGTGAGCATCTGGGGGCCCTTTCTCTACTCTTGAGTCCTGGCCGCATTGTTTGCTTTTAAAGAGTACAAGTCTTAAATCAAAATGAAAATATTCTTACTTGGGAAGGACATAGCCTTTGCTGGGCTTCTCTGTGGCCCTAAACCAGTGGCTTCCAGTAGCTCCCCAACTAGTCCACAATACAGCCTCTGCCCCTGGGTCATAATCACCTCACTTTACAGACAGACACCCAATGACATGGTGAATCCTGCCCTGGCTCCAAACCCACTCCTCCTCCCACAGGCTCCTGGAGTTTGGTTGTAGACCAGAGAGTCACAGTTCAACCAATAGCTTGTGGTTGGTCTAAGAAGACCAAAAAATGTGTGTCTTCTCAGGTTTATAATTACTCATAGTAAAAGTGTTCTCAGAAAGCTTGTAATGAACCGGAAGGATAATTCTTCTGTCTGAAAAGCTCAATTGTCCACATGAGGACCCGAAGCCAGGACAGCTGCCTGGATGCCCAGGAGAGAGGCCCAGGAGGAAACCAGCCCTGGATCTCAGACTTCTGGCCTCTGGAACTGGTGAGGAAATGAATTTCCATTGTTTAAGCTGCCCAGTCTGTAAGCCTCTGTTATAGTAAATGAATACATATATCCTGGAGAACTCACTGATCCCAGAAGTCTTCAGGATTGGCAGAACTAAAAATCCCAGGAAGCTGGAGAAAGAAGTGGGCAGGAAAGTGCATTTGAATGAATGTGTGTTCTGATTTGGATTGTATCTTGAAAATGAAATTTAAAACACGTGTAGGAGGCTTCATGAATTGGAATGCCTGCCTCTCGGCTTTTCCAAAGGGGAGGGGAAAAACAAAATCAAAGTGTTAGAAGAGAGCACGTTTGCACCATTTAGGAGACATTGTAAAGATATAGATGAAACAGAATTCCCAGAGGCTGGCCTGATCATGGTAGATGTATCCGGCCCGTGGTTTCTTTGTTCAGCTGGCCCACCCGGTCTGGCCCATCTCTTCCTGAGCTGATGTCTAACTGGAGCACCAGGGCTAAACTCATTAGAGGAACCGCTAAGTGTTATGTGGTCATTACTCAAACGAAAACTTCAACACGATTAAAAACAAACAGCAGCAGGGGAACTATTTCATGACCCCTGTTTATTCAAAGGGTGAGTGAGCTAATGACCTAAAATATTATCATAAATAAACAATAAGAAAGGCATCAAGCAGAGATGGACAGGAGCGTGAGTCAGAAGGTCACAGATGAAGGTGTATGGATGGCCCGTAAGCAAATGTAAAAAGGTTTCCATCACTGATTACAGAAAACCTGTGCATTTCTGTGAGAACACATGAGACCCTACCCAACAACTTGCAAATATGAGAACACGATTCTGCTCAGTGAGAATTGTGGGGTTGACCTGCTTGGTATATCCAGGGGCAGTAGATGCAGAAATGATGTTAGTGTTTCTGGAGGGAATTGGGGTGGTCCCTGCTACAACCCCCGAGAGTATGCTGACCGATTCCAGGTAATTCACTCACTCACTCATTCATTCATTCATCAATTCATCCTTCACTCAGGAAATGCAAAGAGTGCTCCATCAGAAGCCAAAACCTGGTGAGCCTGAGGTCAGGGGTCACCGGAGCATCCAGTCCAGAGCTCTAAGGCCAGTGGACATGAAGGCCCTGTCGCCTCCAGGAGACTTCCAAGCTGCCCCTGGGGGTGTGGGGGGTATAGTACAGTGGGGACCGGGGGGCTGAGCGAAGGCAGTGGAGGGAGGGGGCTGGCAGGAGCCCCACAAGAAAGCAAAGCTGTGAGTGGAGAGGGCGGGTGGGGGCCGCAGGGGTGGCCGGAGGCCTGGAGGGCAGGTCTGGGCTTCATGGCGGGAGCAACAGGAACTGCCGGAGGACGCTGGCCATGTCACTCCCTCCGGGAGGAGGGCGGGCTGCAGAGGGGCCCGTGGAGGCAGGAGCGGTTCGGAGACTCCAGGCGGAGGGACGAGAGGGGAGCACAGCCTGGGCCATCGAGAGACGGAGGCCGAGGGGACGATGGACAGAACCGCTGCGCAGCTGCTGCGGGGAGGCGGGGAGCATGGTGGATGGAGCAGCGGTGTGTACGTGTGAGTGTGCGTGTGTGTCTGTGTGTGCGAGGAGGGGGAGCAAGGGAGGCTGCAGGAGGAGAGAAGACGCCGTCTCCGAAGCGAGCGGTGTTTATCTCCGCACTGTGCAATTATGGGTAATTTTTCCTTCCATTGTTTGTTTCCCAAGTGTTCTGCATTGAACAAATATTGACTTAGTCATTTAAAAAAAATGTGTTATGAAAAAGATAAAGGCAGCTTGCAAAGACTCCCTGTCCCCCACTTCACTGAGTTCAAATACCCGCCCGGTGGGCATCACGCCAGCTGTCCCCCAGGTGTGCGGACCCTGGCGGGGTCAGGAGCCTGCTGACCACTGTGAGCGCCCTGTGGGAGCCGGGAGGCTGAGTTAGACCCACCTGGCCAGTCCTGTGGGGCCCTGACCTGTGGGGCTCCAGGGTGGTGGAAGGGATGCACGGGCCTGGGTGTCCTGAGGAGGCGGGGCCAGGAGGCAGTGGGAGGGGAGCCCAGGCTTCCCGGCCAGGGGGGGCCTGGGCAGGGCGGGGCTGCTGGCCTGGAGGAGGAGGCACATCTGCGGCCCAGAGAGTGGGGCTCGGGGCTGGGGCAGCAGATGGGGACCGGATGGCAGGGGCCCCTGGCTCCTTAGCACCAGGCACTGCCGCTTGGAAGACAAGAACCCCAGCCACACAGGGACGGAGAGGACGTGCCCGGAATAGGGTGCTGCCTGCTTCATCCCCGCAGCCCGTGGGTGGTGCCACGGGGACTGGCCCCATCCACGGTGCTGCCCACCGAAGCGTGAACTTCCCCGTAACTCAAGCCATTCCTGCGCCCAAGCTCCCCGGACAGCCCGAGCACAGGCGTAGGCGTGGCCAAGGACAGAGACTTGCGGGTGCCTCCTGAGATCTCATTTCATCGACTTGGTCCTTTGGTTTTTCTGAATTGTAGACACAGCAGAGAGAACCCAAAGGAAGCCTCATCTCCATGCCCCACAAACCCAGGGCTGTGGGGTCATCATTCGTGTAAACCAAGTGGAGAAGCAGCAAGCGCAGCTTGCTCTCAGCCTTATGACAGGAAACCCGTGATGTGGCTGAGGTGAGCAGAAGGGCGAGGTCGAGGCATGGGATTTCTCCTTCCCACACCGAACACGGAGCATGCATCAGGCTAGCAGTTTCCTTCCTAAGGGAAACATTAAGAGAGTTTGCCAAACCATGGCTGGGACTGAGACCGGAGGCAGAGGACACGCTGACCTTCTGCTGCAGAGCTGTGTCCGGGGGGTGGACGGGGACAGCCGAGGATCCATGGCTATTCACCTCGTATTCTTTCTGGGAAGAAGGGCTATGTCAGTGGCTGTAAGGCTCAGATGGAAGTTTCCGCAATGTGGACACTATGTAGGGACTGAAAATGACCACTGTGGGCAGGAGAGAGGGGCCTGGAGGAGGATCGGGAGGGCGCAGAGCTCCATGGGCAGCGGCTCAGCTTGGACAGGGGGTGGGCTGGGAAGTGCACGGAGCAGACCAAGTGGCCGGGTCTGGTTTGGGCTCCTCAACTAGTGCAGCGGGAGGCCAGAGGGGAAGCAGGCTGTGGCCGAGGTCAGGGTCAGCAGGCGTGTGGACAGAGTCCTGGAATGGGAGGTCCAGGGAGCAAGCCAGGGCTGGTGGATCCAGAGTCAGTCAAAGGGTCAAGAGCTGGGAGGTGTCATCAGACTCCAAGTCTGGTGTGCAGGAGGGATGGGGCCCGCCGGCTGTCGGCTGGGAGGTCGGGGCAGAGGCGGGATCCTGTAGCTGAGGTTTCAGAGAAGGTGACGAGAGGCTGCCTGAAAGAGGAGGGGCAGAGATCACTCCAGTTATACACTAAAGTTACCCCGAATGATGGCAGGAGGCTCCATGGAGACAAACCTGGATCCCGGGTGTTAGGACCTCCTGTCAGTGAGGTGACGGTGGCAAGCAGGAGGTGAGCAGTTGTCAGGGAAGGGGTGGAGTATTCTGCTTGGGATGAACCTCAGCGATTCGCAGGCGGGGAAGGTGAGCAGAGCCTGTCCAAGGAGGCCTGTCAGCCAAGAGGCCAAGGTCTGAAGATGCAGGTGATCTCTTTACCATGTGCGAATTCCAGGGAGCAGAGCAGAAAACTCTGGGGGCAGTGTCTTGAGGAGGGTCCTGGGGAGGAGGGGCTGACAGCGTCAGCGGTGATCCGTGGAGAGTGGTGGAGGCCTGGGGCAGGGGGCTTCTGTCTGGGCCCAGCCCTGGGCCCAGAGGCACCAAAGGCAGAGATTCTAGCAGGCGAGCTGCTGGCCTCGCGACGGTGAAGCCACGCTGATGGAAATGCTGGTCGGCTCAGCCCGTGGGCAAAGGGCTTGGATGCCGAGAGTGTGGATGATGACACGGAGACCCTGAGATGCTTTGTAGAGGGAGTGGCGTGAGCAGTCTGCTGTTTAAAGATGCCTGGGGCCGTGGGTGAGGAGGGTGGGCTGGTGTTGTGTGACTGGCTTGGGGGCTGGTGCAGCTGATGGCCTAGCCCGGAGGACAGAGAGAAAGGTGCGCTCCAAGGCTGGGACCCTGGCTGGCCCCCCGACTGCAGACTCCAAAGGGCTCCTACATGCCAGAGTTCAGGAGAGGATAAATCCGTGCAGGAGATGCATTTGTTTAAGTAGGTGCAGACAATATTTAACGGCAAATGAGACAATAAAACATGTAATTAGCAGATGTACAGCACTGCCTGCCAGGGATTACAATGAAAGGCACTAAAACACTACCAAGATTAGTAGTCAGCTCATAAGGGAGCTAGTTAGAGGACTGACATGTTCTGGGGTGGGAAGCAAAGACCTGGGGGAGCTCTGGAAACTGGACAGAGGGGCATGAATCCTGCCCCAGCTTGTGCCCAAGGGCCGTATGACTCAGTGTGTTCATTTTGGCATCTAGAAAATGGGGCTATTGATAGTGAATGCCGTAGAAGATGAGTATTGAATGAGATGGAGAACATTACACATTTAGCACATTGCCTAGCCAAGTGCTCAGTCAATGCTGTCATTATTAAAGTCACCCTCATCCTCATCACCATCATCATGACTACCATCATCCCCCACCATCAGCACCACCACCAACATCACTATCACCACTATCATCATCACTGCAATCACCAACCTCACCCATCATCACCACCACCACCATCACTGCAATCACCAACCTCACCCATCATCACCACCACCACCATCACTGCCATCACCAACCTCACCCATCATCACCACCACCACCATCACCGCCATTACTGTCACTATCATCCTATCATCACCATCATCACCATCCTTTCCTTGTTCATATTACTATCATTATTAAAACTTGGAACTATATGATCCTCCCATTACTTCATAGACAGTAATCCAAGTCTATGTCCCAAGCACTAATGCCAAATAAGCTGAAGTTGAACGGTTCTATGAGGACCTACAAGACCTTCTAGAACTAACACCAAACGAATGTCTTTTTCATCATAGGGGACTGGAATGCAAAAATAGGAAGTCAAGAGATACATGGAGTAGCAGGTGAGTTTGGCCTTGGAGTACAAAATGGAGCAGGTCAAAGGCTAACAGAATTTTGCTAGGAGAACACACTGGTCATAGCAAACACCCTCTTCTAACAACACAAGAGAAGACTCTACACATGGACATCACCATGGACACCATGGAAAGATGGTCAATACCAAAATCAGATTGATTATATTCTTTGCAGCAAAAGATGGAGAAGCTCTATACAGTCAGCAAAAATAAGACTGGGAGCTGACTGTGGCTCAGATCAAGAACTTATTGGAAAATTCAGACTTAAATTGAAGAAAATGGGGAAAACCACTACACCATTCAGGAATGACCTAAATCAAATCCCTTACTATTATACAGTGAAAGTGAGAAATAGATTCAAGGGATTACATCTGATAGACAGAGTGCCTGAAGAACTATGGGAGGAGGTTCATGACGTTGTACAGGAGGCAATGATCAAGACCATCCCCAGGAAAAAGAAATGCAAAAAGGCAAAATGGTTGTCTGAAGAGGCCTTACAAATAGCTAAGAAGACAAATGAAAGGCAAAGGAGAAATGGAAAGATATGCCCACTTGAATGCAGAGTTCCAAAGAATAGCAAGGAGAGATAAGAAAGTCTTTCTTAGTGATCAATGCAAATAGAGGAAAACAATAGGGTGGGAAAGACTAGAGATCTCTTCAAGAAAATTAGAGATACCAAGGGAACATTTAATGCAAAGGTGGGCACAATAAAGAAGAGAAATGGTATGGACCTAACAGAAGCAGAAGATACTAAGAAGAGGTGGCAAGAATACACAGAAGGACTGTACAAAAAAGATCTTCTCGACCCAGATAATCACGATGGTGTGATCACACACTTAGAGCCAGACATCCTAGAATGTGAAGTCAAGTGGGCCTCAGGAATCTTCACTATGAACAAAGCCAGTGGAGGTGATGGAATTCCAGTTGAGCTATTTCAAATGCTGAAAGACGATGCTGTGAAAATGCCGCACTCGGTGTGTGAGTAGGTTTGGAAAACTCAGCAGTGGCCACAGGACTGGAGAAGCTCAGTTTTCATTCCAATCCCAAAGAAAAGCAATGCCAAAGAGTGTTCAAACTACTGCACAATTGCACTCATCTCACATGCTACCAAAGTAATGCTTAAAATTCTCCAAGCCAGGCTTCAACTTTTCGTGAATCGAGAACTTCCAGATATTCACACTGGATTTAGAAAAGGCAGAGGAACCAGAGATCAAGTTGCAAACATCCGATGGATCATAGAAATAGGAAGAGAGTTCCAGAAAAACATCTGCTTTATTGATTATACCAAAGTCTTTGACTGTGTGGAACCCAACAAACTGTGGAAAATTCTTCAAGAGATGGGAATACCAGACCACCTGACCTGCCTCCTGAGAAATCTGTATGCAGGTCAAGAAGCAACAGTTAGAACCGGACATGGAACGATGGACTGGTTCCAAATTGGGAAATGAGCATGTCAAGGCTGTATATTGTCACCCTGCTTATTTAACTTATATGCAGAGTACATCATGAGAAATGCTGGGCTGCATCAAGCATAAGCTGGAATCAAGATTGCTGGGAAAAATATCAATAATAACCTCAGATACACAGATGACACCATCCTTATGGCAGAAAGTGAAGAAGAACTAAAGAGCCTCCTGATGAAAGTGAAAAAGGAGAGTGAAAAGGCTGGCCTAAAATTCAACATTCAAAAAACGAAGATCATGACATACAGTCTCATCACTTCATGGTAAATAGACGGGGAAACAATGGAAACAGTGATAGACTTTTTTTCTCTTGGGCTGCAGATGGTGACTGCAGCCACAAAATTAAAAGACACTTGCTCTTTGGAAGAAAAGCTATGACCAACATAGACAGCATATTAAAAAGTAGAGACATTACTTTGCTGACAAAGGTCTGTCTAATCAAAGCTATGGTTTTTCCAGTAGTCATGTATGGATGTGAGAGTTGGACCATAAAGAAAGCTGAGTGCTGGAGAATTGATGCTTTTAAGAACTGTGGTGTTGAAGAAGACTCTTGAGAGTCCCTTGGATTGCAAGGAGATCCAACCAGTCCATTCTAAAGGAAATCAGTCCTGAATATTCATTGGAAGGACTAATGCTGAAGCTGAAACTCCAATACTTTGGCCACCTGATGTGAAGACCTCACTCATTGGAAAAGACCCTGATGCTGGGAAAGATTGAAGGCAAGATGAGAAGGGGATGACAGAGGATGAGATGGTTGATGGCATCACTGACTCGATGGACATGAGTTTGAGCAAGCTCTGGGATTTGGTGATGAACAGGGAAGCCTCACATGCTATAGTCTATGGGGTGGCAAAGAGTCGGACACAACTGAGTGACTTAATTGATACTGATATGCATCTTCAGGAAACAACTGTGCACAGAGACAAGTCTCATTGAGACCTCAGTGTCCATCTGCTCTGTGGGGAGGTCACAGTGAGCTAGAAGAGTATGTGACTTGCTCTGGGTGATGGAGCGTCAGTGTGGCATCAGCTGAAGTCAAAGGTGACTTCCTGCCATGGCTCCTTGCCACTGCCTGCATATTATGTGACCTTGGGAAGATATTTTTTCTTATTTGTGCCTCTATTTCACCTAAGCAAAACCAAGAGAGAAACAGACAAGCCCTGCAGATCTCCATGCATTCACGGTTTAAGCATATTCACTGCATGGACTGCACCTGCCTGATTAAAGCAGTGAGGCCACATGTCCCCCAAGGAGATACTCATGCCCTGACTTCCCCCCAGCCCCGCTGACATCTGCTGACTACTCCTGGGAGAGGCTCCAGGCCTGCGGGGGGTGGGGGAGCCCCATAGTACAGCACTGTGCCCCTGCCCCCTTCCCACGCCTCAGGCCGACCCTGGACTGGCCTCCATCTCCCACTCCATCCCCATTAATCCATGATTAGATATACATCTTTGCTTCCTATTGAGGAGCTGGTGAATTGGGCCATTAGATGGAGAAAAAAGTGTTTTTCAATGATCACCAGGGAGAAGAGATGCCGCCAGCGCCGAGTGGAGAATCAATTTGAGCCAGGAAGGCCCTGCCATCCATCTCCGTTTGCTGGGTAATTTAGGCCTCAAAGGCGCAGAGCAGATAGTGGCACTGCAGGGGCACCCCTGCTGGGCCGGGCGGAAGATGCAGCCTCGCGCCCTGGTCCTGTCTCAGGGAGACTGGGGGAGGGCGAGGAGGAGGAGCGGGCCTACGGGGAGGAGCAGGATGTCCCCTCTGGGTGCACTGGACAAGGTGGGGTGTATTCTCCCGTGGACCTCACTCCGTCCTCGGTGTAGGGGTTGGATTTGTGTCAGCCCCTGGGCAGCCCCCAGCCCAAACCACCCTCCCTGACTCTCGCCCTCCAGGGCTGTTCTCTTTTCCAGGGAAGGGTAACTCAGGTCCCCACGTGGAACCAGCTGACCGAGAGGGGGTGGGTTGGGTGCAGGGCCCAGCGGAGCCCAGCTCTGCGGTGCAGGCACCCGGCCGGGACGCGCGGCTGTGGCTTGTGCCCCAGCCCGGCCTTCTGTCACAGTGGAGAAAGATCCGAGGGCCAGAGTGGCTCAGTGACTTTCTAGGGCTGCTCAGCACTCAGGTGGGGGCTCGGGCAACCCAAGGAGGGTCACGTCCCCAGGTAGGGCTCACCCCCCTCGGTAGCCAGTTCTGCAAGGTCACTGACAGCCTCGATGGCGGCACTGCTCAGGGGGCCGTATTATGAGCCCACTTTGCAGATGTGAGAACTGAGACTGGAGAGGAACGACGCCATCAGCCAAGGTCACCCAGCTCCCGGGGTGAGGCCCTGTCTGGAGGCCATATCTGGAACCTCAGCGTTTGGCCCCCTGCCACACGGGCACTGTTTCTAGGCTGTGTCCCGTGGGAGTGAACTCTCCCGGCCAGAGCATCCAGCCGGCCGGCAAGGCCGTGCTGTGTGAGGTGAGGAGGGTCTTGGCCCAGCTGCCGCAGGCTGTCAGGCCTCTTTGGAGGACGGGGGTGGGTGGGTGGGGGGCTTTCTTAGATGCCAGGGCTGCGTCTCTCTCCCCCGTGTCTTGCTCCTCCCACCCTGGCGCTGGGCAGCGCCTCTAGCCTGGCTGGCTGTGGTCTGACCTGGGCCTCATTTACTCTCCCCAAGTGACCTAGAGCAGGACCCTGCCCCTCTCCTGCCTGACCCCCGTCTGGGAAGGGGGTGGACTGCTGTGCCTGTGTGGGCACGGGCAACGGGTGAAGGGGGCCCGGGGTGCTGGTCACCTTCTCAGGGGGGGCCCCACGGGGCCAGAGCCCAGGCACTGCCCACCACATTGCCAAGGTTGACACAGGCTGTGCGGGGGAGGATCCCTCTGCTCTGCCCACCCTGAGCCGGAGAAGAAAAGACCCAGGAGGCCGCTGCTGGCCGCTCAGCCTGCAGTGGGTGGTCCCCAGTGGAGGACCTTCTCTGCTAGGTCCTTGGTGTCCCGGTGGAACGTGCCTCTCCGCCAGGCAGAGGGGGGAGCGCCCACCCCAGGCCAGTCTAGCTTTCCCCAGTCAGGGTCTTCTCCCTGCAGCACCCTCCCTGGGGATACTCTGCCTGGCTTGGATCAAAAGTCACGCCCCCTGCAGCTGTTTCCTGGAACTGGTCCCGCCCTTCTCTGCCTGGGGACAGGCCTGGACCAGCCTGAAAGTGTGGCCGATGAGCAGGGATCAAAATGTGCCCACGGAGAGGCCCCCACCAGGGCCTGGCAGGTATCGGGCGCTAACAGCCGGGTCTAGAGCTGCGGGGAGATGGTCCCAGGCTGGAGTGCAGTGCAGTCAACAGGGTTAGATAGGAGCCAGAAGGGGGCTGAGTACCCAGTGGGGCGGGGTCTGGGAGCAGCCAGGAGAAGGGGAGACAGGCTCTGGATGACAGGAGGGAAGGCGAGTGGCCTTCCTGAAGGAAGAAGAAATGAGCTTCAATTCCACTCACAGGGAGACCTGATAATGCATACCACATGTGTAAGCACATACCTGAATCCTGGGGACAGAGGGAAGGGGACGGAGGGAGGGAGGGAGGGGGCCTGAGGTGGGGGGACGGAGGGGCGTGGAGGGAGGTGGATGGAGGGGAAGGGATGGACGGGGATGGAGGGTGACGGAGCTGCTCTCACCAGAGAGCAGCAGCTGGCTTTCAATGCCCACCGCCAGCCAGGGCCCTCCAGGGCGGGGCGCCTGCTCCCTGCTAGGGAAACGCCTTGTTAATTATTGCACAGGTATTGTCCTCGCCATGGAGCTGCAGTGATTGAAAACTCACCTTCTCAGCAGTGGCTCGGCCACTTTCAGAACTGCTGGCCTGGTGGGAAGCCTGGGGTCATTCTGGATACCCCGCTGGATCCAGGAGAGGACGATAGAGAGCCGGGCCAGGAGGGCCAATGGGCAGGGCTGGCAGCTACTGAGCAGGGCCAGGACTGTCCCCTGCAGGAGCAGGGCCTGAGTGCCAGCTGGTGTCCACCTGGAGCCTCTCTCAGCCTGCCGGACCCTGGCCCTAAACAGACTCAAGTTCCCATGTCATCCGTCAGCTGGCCCGTCCTTCCCTGGGGCTCAGGACCTCCCACAAATGCCCTAGACGGGGTCTGAGACCCGGGCTCCAGTCAGTGTTGACCCCTGGGGGACTTTCAAGCAGCCCGTCCAAGAAGACAGTCCCAACCAAGCACCTCGCCCACAGCCAAGGCTGGGATGAATGCACAGCACTAACAGAAGGTTTTAGTGGGGGCATTGGGTGTGGGTTCATGGGAAGACTCTGCAAATAATGTTCTAAACATCATCTGGGCTTCCTTGGTGGCTCAGACGGTAAAGAATCCTTGTAGAGAATGCACAAGCCAGACTCTGAGGCTTTGCAGGCAGCCCCAGGGTCCGGAGGTGGGGAGAAATTTTGTCTACGTCCTCAGTGTAGTGGAGAGGCAGAGGGCTCTGGGGGTGAGTTTGGGTGCTGTTTGGGGCGCCCCCAGAACCACCCCACATGAGGTCAACCCTGGGCCTGTGCCTCCAGCCATCCCCAGCCTCATGCGCTGCCACCAGAGCCTGTGATTCATCAACAGCAACTCCGGAAGCACACGGGGGCTCCCTGCTGACTCGTGGGCGGCCACCTGTCCTGCCCTTGCTCACACTTGTTGGTGGGGAGAGAACTGTATTTTTAACAGCCATACATGTCTATTAATAAAAATATTAGCCAGTTGAAGAGTTTTTCCCAAAAGCAAAAAAATTTCCATGGAGAAATTTCCAGGTCTTGTCAGCAATACAAATGATGCTTGCCTGGTGTTAATTAAGACTCCAGCTCACAGCCTTTCCTGAGACAGAAGGAGCCCGGGGCCTCTGGACCAGGGTGTCGGGCCTAAAGGTTGTGCTGGGAGCCCAGAGGACCACCTGTCTCCCCAGCCCCTGTCAGGGGCAGCGCTCGGGGGGGCTGGGTGGCCGCAGGGGTCTCCTGCATCCATCAGCAAGTCTCGCTGTCCCCTCTTCCAGTTGCGGCCCACTCTGCCCAGATGGCCTAGGGCTTAGAGAAAGGACTCAGAGGGAAGTCCTGACCCTCTGCTTGTAGCCTCCGGGGCTGCAGAGGAGGGCCCTGCAGAATGAGGTGGAACCTTCTCTTGTGAGCACAGAGGCGCTAGTGGCAAGTCCTGACACAGTCATTGCCGGCACTGGACTTGCTGGGTCCCCCCTTGCCCGCCTGCCCCGGGCGGGCCACCCAGAGAGGGCCGGCCCTGCCTCTCACGTGCCTGCTCCCAGCCATGCTCTCAGGGGCCCCCTGCCTCTCTGGGGACCCCGGCAATGTCAGACTGAGAGTGACAGGGATCAGGCTGGTGCTCAGAAGAGCCTCCAGCTGTGGGCACTGACTCCTTGTGGGGCCAGGCGGCGTGCTGTGGACCTGGGGCCCCCACGAGCTTGCACGACCACCTGAGGGCCTGCGGGGACCAGGCAAGTAGGGGGCTGCTCCCGCAGGACCGCAGGACCTCAGCACCTCATGGGTGCTGGAGCTTTCCCTCTCAGGCCAGAGGAAGAGATACGGGCTGACTTCTTTCTTATTTTCTCAGTTCAGTTACTCAGTCGTGTCCGACTCTGCAACCCCATGGAATACAGCATACGAGGCTTCCCCGTCCATCACCAACACCTGGGGTTTACTCAAACTCATGTCCATCAAGTCGGTGATGCCATCCAACCATCTCATCCTCTGCCATCCCTTTCTCTTCCTGCCCTCAATCTTGCCCAGCATCAGGGTCTTTTCCAAGGAGTGAGTTCTTCACGTCAGGTGGCCAAAGTATTGGAGTTTCAGCTTCAGCATCAGTCCTTCCAAGGAATATTCAGGACTGATTTCCTTTAGGATGGACTGGTTGGATCTCCTTGCAGTCCAAGGGACTCTCAAGAGTCTTCTCTACCACCACAGTTCAAAAGCATCAATTCTTCTTATTTTCTAATCAGCTTTAAATTGTGGACCGGTTTTAGGTTTAGAGCATCATTTACAGTCTTCCTGTGAACCCTCACCCCCCACCCCCTTTGGTGTGTTCTGTTAGTGCTGTACATTGATCCCTAGGAAGGAGCCAGCGCTGATAAGCAGCTAACAACTCAAGTCTGTGCTGCGTCCAGATTCCTATCCCCTCGCCCCATCTTTCCCAGTTGTGTTTCTCTGCTCCAGGCTCCCACCCAGGTACCAAGCTGCTTTCAGTCCTCGCGTTTCCTTCCTGGTGAGACGGGCGGAGCACAGCCTCAGTGTGCTGCTCTGAGGATTTTTACATCGAGACGTGCCCACAGACCGAGAGGCTGCGCCCCACCCCCGGGGCTCGCTGGCCCTCCCGGCAGTGCTCCCCGGCCCTGCCCCAGAGGGCACCGTGCTGCCTGCGGGCTGTGTGTTGAAGGAGCACATCTTCACATCTTCCGTGTCTGGTTCCCTTCGCCCCCAGTTTGCCCGTGAGCCCTGCCTGTGCTGCTGCGGACACTGGGAAAGGATTTCACTGCAAAACACAGAGAACCAAACTGACGGCTTTTGTCCCCACCACCCACACTCGGGCATTTTAAATTCTCACCGTTTGAGTCTCATTATAACCTCGCCTCCTGTCACTTCTAGAGGCCGTCACTGACCCCTGAAATCACTGAGATCCCTCCCTGCTTTCCCTCTACATATCCGTAAACAGCTCACATGATTGACTGTGAGGATGTTAACCTTCACATCAATGGCATCATACAGTGCTCACCATTCTGCTCTCTGCTTCTTCCACCTGACGCTGTGTTTTGAAGATCAGTGTGTGCCACACGCATCTCTGCTTCGCCCCTTTCAACTCCTGGGTACACAAACAGGCTGCAGTTGACCTGCCCATTCTCCTGTTGATAAATTTGGGGTCTTTTATACTTTTTTTCTTTCACACATTCTGATAGAATGAGACAAGAAATGACCTGGGGCCATCTCCTTCTGCACCTGTGTGAGTTTCTCTTATACTTATCTAGGTGTGGACTGGCTGGGTTTGGGGCTAGATGCACTTTCAACCTTACTTTTTTTCATACTTGCATGTCTTAGCTTGGGCTGATATCACAGGATACCGTAAACTGGATGGGTTGAGTAACAGATGTTATTTCTCACAGTTCTGGAGGCTGAAAGTCTGTGATCAAGGTGCTGGCACACGTGGTTCCTGGTGGAGTCTCTGCCTGGTTTGCAGTGGCAGAGAGGGAGAGAGGTCTCTGCACTCTTCATGTAAGGGCATTAATCTCATTCATGAGGGCCCCGCCCTCCTGAGCTCATGGCCCTCAAATGCTGTGCCTCCTAATCGAAGATTGGACTCCAATGTGTTGTTTTGGGGGGACACAGACATTTATCCATGGCATGGCTCTTCCCCAGGTGTGCATCAGTTCACGTTCACACCACAGCTCAGGAAAGTCACCACCTCCCCACATTCTCACTAACACTCACTCCCGTGGGATGCTGTGCATCCTGCCTGGCTGTTGGGAATGGAATAGCATCTCCTTGTTGTAACTTGCATTTCTTAGGTTACTTGATGTAGTTTATTGTATATCTTCTTCCCTGTGAAATCCACACTGGGGTGTGTGTGTGTATGTGTGTGTTCAGTCGCTCAGTTGTGTCTGACTTTTTGCAGCCCCATGAACTGTAGCTTGCCAGACTCCTCAGCCCATGGGATTCTCCAGGAGAGAATAATGGAGTGGACAGCCATTCCCTTCCCCATGGATGTTCCCAGCCCAGGGATCAAACCTGGATCTCCTGCATTGCAGGCAGATTCTTTCTTGTCTGAGCCACCAGGGAAATTGATTTGTTGTTACTTATTTTTAGGGGGGTGGGTATTTTGCCTTTTCCTCAAAGCCACGTGGGAATTCTTTGTATACTATGAGGGCTAATATTTTATTGATTTTATGCATTAGAAGGGCTTCCTCCCAGAAGATGGCTTATCGTTTTATGTTTGTGTAGAGTTTTTCTGTTTTGTTTTTGTACAATGACTCACTTCATCTGCAAGTTTCAAATTTATTGGCATGACATAACTCAAAGCATTTCCTCTTCTGTGTTTCTAATACATTTATTTGTATACTCTCTTTTCTTCATCCAATTTGCCAGAGATTGTTCTACCTTAGTATTCGTTACAAAAGAAAAAAAAACAAAAGCAAAGCAAAACTTTGGCTACTTGATTTCTGTTTTTAAATATCCACTTTTATCTTTATTAGTCTCCTTTTTCTAGTTTTTGCCATTGTTCTTTTAGTTTCTTGAGCTGAAAATTTAATTCACTCTTATTATTTTCATTGTTTGCTTAAATTCATTTAAAGTTAAGGTTTACCCAGAATGATTTTTATTACCATTTACTTCTAGACATTTTCAAAGTCTCCAATGTAAGTTTTTTAAAACTCGTGATATGTTCCTCAAATTTTGGAAATTTTCAGTCATCATTTCTCTAAGCATTAATTTCTACGCCTTTACGTTAGGCTGTTTGATATTATCCCACATATCCTTGAGGCTCTGTTCATTTTTCTTCAGTTTTCCCCTCCTTTGTTCTCTGGGTTGGATAATTTCTATTGATCTGTTCTCAAATTCACCGACTCTCCTGACATCGAAAATCTCGTTTAAAGACCTTTCAGCTAATTTTTCACTTCAGCAATTATAACTTTCAGCTCAAAAATTTCCCTTGGTTCTTTTTTTTTTATAGTTTCCATTTCTCTTCTGAGATTACCTATCTGTTCACTCATAAGATTATATTTCCTTTAATTCTTTGAAGATTTCTTCCTGCATAAATTTATAATAATTGCCTTAAACCCTTTATCTGCTGCATCCAGCACCTGGGCGGTCTCCAAGTTCAACTTCCACTGACTGATTCACTTTTACTCACCAGGAATCACATTTTTCTACTCCTTTACTTTGTCCAGTGATTCCTGATTGTATTTTAGCCACTACGGGTTCTTGGTGGTAGAGACTTTCAATTCC